ACACCCACCCCCCCACCGCGGCCCCCGCCATATCCTCCCCGGCCTCCTTGCTGAGGAGGGCCTCCCCTTCCCCTACCTTGGTAATCAGAAGGGGCACCATATTGCTGTTGGGGCATCCCTCGGCCCCGGCCCCCACTGTAACCTCCCCGGCCTCCTTGGGGACCCCAGGCTCTACCTCCTCCTTGAGGTCCAGGCCCTCCTGTGGTAGGGGTCTGCTGTTGAGGTGGAGCACTCCTTTCAGCGGGGCGTTGGGCCTCAGAGCTTTCACCCCCACTGGGTGCTTCAGTTCTCCTCTTTCTGACCATGATGAAAACCCTGCACACATTGGACACAAAGTTTGTGATTATTAGCAGGAAAACCCTTCTTTCGGCATTGACAATGCAAACTGATAAAATCGAATGACAAAAGCAAAATCATAAAATACAATCACCTTGAAGATAAACTACTTGCGACTGGGTAAAAGAACACAAGCCAAAATATATTTTCCGATCAAGACAATTTTAAACACTCAGTTCAGTGATTAAATGTAGCGCAGAACAAAACAATATAGGTTTATTAAAAACAAAAATAGCAAAAGGAGAAAGTGATAATCATACATAACCACATTTGTTCACAATTTTGACACAATATCAAGTTTCACTCAGAAAACACAGTCAACACTCAGAATAATAGATAAAATTACCGTGAACAACATCTGCAGACTAATCAACAGAAAAAATCATGAGAATTCAAAAACCATAAAAAAAAAGTGTAAAACTTCAAACACTAAGGAAAAAAGATAAAAAGCAAAGAAGCAAAGCACAAAGAATTAGCTTCACGCCCACCATACATAGCAACAGGGTTATTTTCTTCCCATACAAGGTAAAAAAAAAATCCAAGTAGAAATGAGTAATAGTTAAAAAAGAAAAATGCGTAGAAAACACACAAACAACTGAACCACCGATGAAATCCCAGACATTGCAACAGAATCCAAAGCCAACATAAAAATATCCTAAGATAAAAAAATATTAAAAAAAATCGATCTGAAACCCAAGCAAAACCTAGAAAACATAAACAACAAAGGAAAGCAAACCATAAATCTGAAAAATCAAAAGAAAAAACAGATCAGAGGCACAGCCAAGCACATCAACACCCACCATACGCTCCAGAGACACTAGATCTACGCAACTAACCCCCGGAATGAAAAATTTTGAAGAGCACCCACGACATAAAACCGAAAACCAAACAGACCCACGAAAGAAAACACCGAGAAAGTAGCCGGTGGGTGCCAAAACCCTCGAAAAAGCAGAGCAAAACAGAGCATGTATATTTACCTGAGTTAGAAGGGCGAAAGTGGGGAGTGGAGTGAAGAAGGAAGAAGAGAAGTGAGGGATAGAGAGAGAAGAGTGTGTTTTCTCTCGCTAAGAAGAATAAGAGAGAGAAAGAGAAAGAGAGAAATGGTGGAAGAGAAAGGGAAAAACACATGAAAGCTTGGAATTGGACATGTTATAAAGATGGGGTAGGTCTTCGAAAATGACCACTCCGTCCCTACCTCTCCTTCGTTTCTAAGCAGTTTACTCCTTCTCCTCTAAGCACTCTCTTTTCTGTTTTTCTCACCATATTTTATTCAAAAATAAGGTTAAATAACAAAAGTGATTAACAATTTGAGTAATTATAGATAATTAACTGATTTAAATAATTTTATATATGATTAATTTTTAATATTATTTTATATTATTTAATTTTTAAAAATAAAATTATTTAAAAAACTTAGAGATGAAAAAACAGTTATAAATTTATATATAGAAGTTGTAGATAGTTATTTAAAAAAGATATAATTTTTTTTTTATATCTAACAGTATAATGGTCCACTAAAAAGTGAAAACCAAAAGAATAATTACCAAAATATATTTTTTTATAGGTATAGATAGATTATGTATCACCTTTATATATAGGCTGGAGGGACCGAGACATTTCCTACCTCTAATAGTTAGAGGCAAACAAATATTAGAAATTGTAGATAATTATTTAAAAAGAAAATAAATTATTTATTATTTGCTTACATTCAATAAGTATAATGGTCTACTAAAAAGTGGAAATTAAAAGAGTGATTACCAAAATATATTCCATTTATAAGTATAGATGATCCACTAAAAAGTAGAAATTAAAAGATGATTACCAAAATATATCCCTTTATATATATATATATGGTCCACTAAAAAATAAAATCTAAAAGGATGATTATCATAATATATTCTTTTATAAGTAGAGAAGAAATAAACTCTTTATATATAAGGATAAATATATTTTTCTTTAACTTTTTATCTTATTTATTTTTATCTACCAAACATGTGAGTCGTAGATTCAAATTTTATTATTAAAAATAATTAAGAAGAATAAATTGGTTAAAAAAAAAGTCGATGGAAGAATCTTTCATGCAAATTAATTATCAACAAATTTGATGATATGTGTGACCTGTAATATGATAACTTAGAAAGATGGTAAATTATTGATATTCATATTTTTACCAACTATTATTTTAATTCGCGAGCTAAATTTTATTTTATACAACTAAGTTTAAATAAATAAATATTTTTTAAATATATTAATTACATTTTTATAATTAATATTTATAATTTCTAATAAACATATAATAAATAAATTTGATCATATGAATTATATTTTTTTATAACTAATATATATTGTTTTGTTAGGTTGTTTTAATTGATAAAAATACAAGATTATTTATTACATATAACTATAATTTATAATGAAATATATATACAAATAAATATTATACTAAAATATAATTTATTTTTAAATTTTGTATAATAAATATTTTTAAATATATAAATTATATTTTTTAGAGTAACATATAAATTATATTTTATATTTATAATAAATGATTTATATTGTAGGATAATATTATTTATATTTATTGATAATTTGTATTAAAATATTAAAATGTAACTCATAATTAAATCAAATTAGATAAAAAATTTAAAAAATCTAAAAAAATTCTCATTGGTGTAAATTTATTTTGATTTCTCAAATTTAAAACTATTGTTTTTAATCCTGTAATTTTTGAAAAACTTATTTCAATTCCTTATCTCATAATTAACAAATTTAAAAGTCACTGATTAAGACAATTATGCACTATTAATTGACCATTAACATATCTATAAGTAATAAATTAAGACAGTTATTTACTACCAATTGAATTTAATGGGATATGTTTACTAATAGGGTACTAGTAGGTAAATTTTATTTAAAAATATTTAACAAATTTTTTAACAAAATTTAAGCATAAATACTAAAAAAATATTTTTTTAAATTACAAAAATTAAAAGATCGATTTTAAATTTGAAAGATTAAAAACAAATTTACCTTAAAAATGACTAAAAACATATTTCAATCTTTTTATATTAACTTAGTAATTAACAATTTTATTTGATTTAAACATAACTAAGACTAAACATATTTTTAATTTGATTAGAAAATATTTTATACCGCGTTAATATTCATATTCAATTCAAACTTAAATAAAAAATATATTTTAAATTTAACAAAGAAATATTTAATATTGTGCAACCAATCTTATTTATTTTTTAACTTTTCTTAGTGAATATTATTTTATTTAAACTTAAATTAAATGAATCGTACTCTAAATTTGATATGCGAAACTTTAGTCTTGTGCTAATAATCTTATACATTCCAAACTTAAATAAAAGGAATCATATTTTAAATTTGATAAAGAAAACGTTAATATAATTTGATAAATAAATACTTAAAGTTGGACAAATAGTTTTATTTGATTTGAATGAAATATAGTTTAAAGGGATGTATTGGATTAAGATTTTAATATATTTTAAAAAATATATATTATAAAAAGGTTTTGTATTTAATCAAGATTTTTTTTAATATAAAAAAGTGATGTGATATTTAATCAAGATAATTAAGAATTTTTTTAAGAGTCCATCAAATTTTAGTAGTATTTAAAAATATAAAGATTTCAATAGATTATTTTAAATATTAAATTTTGTGAGATTTTTTAGTATAATTTATATGTAATTCATTTATTAAACAATCAAGATTTGTTTCGAAATTCGTCAAAATCTGATGATATTAAAAAATACAAATATTTTAATGAATTATTTTAAATATAGAATTTTATGAGACTTTTTTAGTACAATTTATATATAATTCATGTAAATATATTTGTTTAATTCACTCGTTAAATAATTTCATCACACATGACATTTTTTCCTTCTATTTGTATTTTTTCTTTCTTTTTTTCTTTCTTAAATATTTTATATTGCCTTTCATGTTTCTCTAATTTTTTTTTCTCTCTTGTTATTATTGTTTTTCTTTTTCCTTTTATTCTTTATCTTATTTTTTCTTTTTCTTTTTATTCATCTCTCTCATTTATCTTTTCTTCTTCTCCTCCTATCTTTTTTTTTATCTATCAATTAATGTATAATTTATCAGTATTTATTTTTTACATATTAAATATTTTAAAATATTTTTTGCATTATTAAATATTATCTTTTGTTAAATTTTTAAATTATTAAAATTTAATTGTTTGTTTGTAATGAAATTTAATGTTGAAATATATATTAACCCTAAAAAAATGAAGTTTTCAATTTATGCCTTGCATCCTTAATAAAAATGTGATTAAGAGAGAAAATTTAGTATTTATAAGACACGAGATAAATTTGTATTATCATGTAGCACTACATAATTTTCTTTGTAAAAAATGTTGTTATGATGAATTTTTAATTGAATTAGTAAATGAATCTTCATCTTCATTGCTATCAGTTAATAAAAAATCATAATATTTTCATGTTTTGACAAATAATTATCTCTATCTTTTGACAAATAGTTGACTTTAATTTTTCATATCTAACATTTTTCACATATTTATGTTATATTAGTCCTCTATAAATTGACATATTATCTTTCATATACTTGAGACTGAACAATATTGTAGTATTGCAAATCTATGTTTTCATGTTAATTCATAAAATCTTTTAAAATCTTATAATATAAATTCATTAAAATTTGAATTATAAAGTCTTGATTAAAATTCACGTTTTAAAAGTCTTTTGAAAAAATCATAAATGTTATGATATTCTTACAAAACATTTAAAATCCATTAAAATTCACACAAAAAAATTATGTTAAAATTATCTCTCAAAATCCTAATCCAATATGCCTCCTAAATTAATAAGGAACTATTTACGATCATGCTAGTAATCTCATTCGAATCAAACTAAACTAATGTGAATCAAATTTAAAAAATTACTTTTTTCAATATTTTTTTCTTAATTTGTTTATATTTTATATTTCTATTTTTGTAATATTTATTTTCAATGCAAATTAAAATTCAACGAGGAAAACTTTGTTGTAATACTATTGATTTTATTTTTTGACACCCTCTACCCCAACTTTAATACACAATAAATGTAAACAATTTTTTTCTCTTTTTGAGTAAATAAAATTTTCCATAGTTTGATAACATCTTTCATGATAAAACAAATGTCTCAAATCATAAGGTAGAAGATTCACATTCATAACTCATAAATCATCACTCCAATGTAGAAATTATAAAAGAAAAGAAGTTAAGATTTTCAATACAATTTAGTGAAAAATAAGAAATCATATATATATATATATATATATATACAAATAATAATAAAGGAAATATAAATTAACTCCAGTAAAGGTGGCAGTGCCTCCTGGTTAGGGATTAATTTATAACTTCCAAATCATGTAATAAAAATATAACAAAGATGCACATTTGGGTCTTTTATTGGATTATAAACTTTATCTACGTTATCTCTTCGTTAGAAATTACAAAAGAAGAGAAACTAAAGTTATTAAAACAATAACATATTAAACTAAAATAACTATGCCCCGATGTCACATCCTATCAGAGCATGCCCAACTGAAGCCTTAAGCCTCATCAACCACATCCTCATGATGTTGATCGCCTGCAACATAATTTAAACACATACAAAAGCAACAAGGGAGTGAGAAATATCTCACTCAGTTTTAGGTGAAGAAATAAAGGTTAGATAGCACACACACGCACAACAAATATAAGTCACGTGTAAACAATACACATAAATAATCAATATCACATATATACTCATTTATCATGCTTATGATGTCATGGACTCGACTCATAAATGCATGCATGTGGCGCCATACGGAAGATTCACAATTCATCATTGGTGACCCTAAGGTACACCTAGTTACATCACTGGTGACCCTAAGGTACACCTTGTTAGCATGTTACGTCGTGGGTGACCATAAGGTACACCTAGCATGTTACGTCGTGGGTGACCCGAAGGTACACCCAACATGTTACGTCGTGGATAACCCGAAGGTACACCTAGTTAGCATCGTTGGTATGCGGCCTCAACGACACACCTGGAGTAATATATGCATATGATGCATGTCATACCTTCATTATTTCATGG